GCACATCAAATGATGTGCAGTCACTAGCTATTAGGGAAATGTAAATTATGAATATAATGAGATATCACTGCACATCTATTAAAACAACTAAAATAAAAAATACTAACAATGGCAAATGCTAGTGAGAATGCAGAAAAATGGGATCTCATACACTGATGGTAGGAATGTAAAATTATACAGTCCCTCTAGAAAATATTTTGCTAGTTTCTTGAAAAACTAAACATATAGTTGCCACATGGCCCAGCAATTACATTCCAGGGGATTTATATCAGAGAAATGAAAATTTATGTTCAATACCTAAATGTTCATGATAGCTTTATTTTAGTAGCCCCACACTAGAAACAGAAAAAATGTCCTTCAATAGGTGAACAGTTAAAAGCTGTAGTACATCCATACCATGGAATACTACTTAGTGGTTAAAAAAAAAAAAAAAACAAATTGATGATATATGCACCTGCTTGATCTCAAGGGAAAAATACCAATCTCAAAAAGTAACATACTATTGTGATTCTTTTATTTAACATTCTCAAAATGACACAATTATAGAGATGGAGAAGAGATTAGTGTTTTCCAGGTGTTAGGTGATGGTGTGTGTGTGAGGGGTTGTGACTCTAAAGGGTAGCATGAAGGAGATCTCTAATAAAGGAATAACTTTGCACTTGATTGTGGTGGTGGTTCCACAAATCTACAAGTGTGATTAAATGCAGGCATAGAACTATACACACACATTGTACCAATGTCAGTTTCTTAGTTTTGCTATTGTACTATAGTTACCTATGATATAAATATTTGGAGAAACTGGGTGGAAGGACACACAGAATCTCTCTGTACTCTCTTTGCAGTTTCCTCTGAATCTATAATTCTTTCAAAGTAAAAAGTTCCCAAACCCTCACAGCACCAAATGCTGGCAAGGGTGTAGAACAACAGGAACTCTCATTCACTGCTGGTAGGAATGCAAGGTGGTACAGCCACTTTGGAAGACACTCTGGCAGTTTCTTACAAAGCTAGACATACTCTTACCACATGATCCAGGAGTTGCACTCCTAAGTATCTACCCGAACGAATGGAAAACTTACGTTCACACAAAAAAACTGTACACACATGTTTATTCATATTTGTCAAAAATTGAAAGCAGTCACCATGTCCTTCAATAGGTGAGTGGATAAACAAATATTGGTACATTCCTACAATGGAGTAGTATTTAGCATTAAAGAGAAACGTTCTGGACTTCTGGTCAAGATGGTGGAATAGATGGTACCCAGTGTCACCCTCTGCCACAATCAATCAATTTACAACTATTAAAAAGCAACAACTACCAACCTGGGGCTTCTAGAGCTCAGAGGAACAGGAGGAGAGATCTACAGAGTTCATGAGGGCAGGAGAAACCACAATGAGAGAAAGGACCATTCCAACTGTTTCAAGCCCTGGCCACTTCAAAGCTAGCCCTGGTGAGCATGTGGAGCAAGAGCAGGCAAAAGCCGCCACTGTGCCTTTCATATGAAGTTGGAGGCTGCAGGAGAGAAGAGGGTCTCAGTGGCCCCCAAGCCAGCAAGACCACTAACAGGGTTCCCAGGGACCCACATAGGAGTGAGGGGCCACAGACAACTGAAAAAAGGAGCCACTCAGAAGTTGGTGAGTCATTGCAAGGGAAGGGTGCATGGCCTGCCCTATGGGAAGTGTTTGGAGTGCAGGAGTTGGGGGAGACTTGCCCACTGAGGGGACATTGGGGCACAACATGGACAGCTAATCTGCCCTCCAATCAACACAGGCCCACTCAGTGGAGACTGGCCAGGAATGCAGAACTGCAGGGGGTGCAGTTTGCTGAAAAGACTGAGGTCCAGACCAGAGTTTCCACACAACCCAGGTGTGCCAGACCTCACAAGACCCAGAAGTACTTACAAGGTCAGCAATCAAAACCTCAGCTACACAAAAAGCCTTCCCCAGAGAATCAGCAGCAAAGCAGCAATTTATCTCAACCACAGGGTTCAAGTGCTGGTTCCCTTAGGAAGTTCCCCCATTTTAGAAGTAAGCAAAGGACAATAAATTAGCTCTAGTTCAGAGTTTGAGCAGTAGGAACAGCAAATAATCCAACACAGAGCTGAAAGAAAAAGCAAAATACCCACAGATCAGAGACAAAGTTTGATATTAACCAGTAAAAGTCTAACACCACCAAAGAACACCTATAAAATCTAGAAGAACTGGAAGTCCCCTGGACTCCCAAGCCAAGATGCAGGGTACAGAGGGCCTCAGCCACGCCTCCCTGAAGTCTGCACCCAGTCCAGTGATAACCACTGAGCTGCTGCCAGAAGCATCCCAGGCTGCCAAACCAGTGCAGTGGGGGAGTCAAGGGCCTCAGCCATGACCCCCAACATCCACAGCCAGTGCAGAGATGACCACCAATCTGCCACTGGAAATGCCCTGGGCTCCTTACCTGGAGCAGTGGGGGGCTGAGGGTCTCATCCAAGCTCCCCTAATGTCCACACACAGCCCAGCGATGACCACCGAACTGCCACCAGAAGCACCCTGGGCTACCAAACCAGGGTGGTGGGGGACTAAGGACCTCATCCAGGCTCCCCTGATGTCCACATCCAGCTCTGTAATGACTGAGCCACCACCAGAAGCCCCCAGGCTCCCCTGCTGGAATGAGGGGGCTGCCACAGGCCTTGACCACACATCCCCTTTCTTCTCCTCCCACCCTATCTCCCTCCCCCTTCCCTTTTCTCCTTCTCCCCCAACTGCTCTGCAACATCTTAGAATGTAAAAAAATAACAATAAATGAATAAATTTTTTAAATAAAAAATTTTAGAAAAAAGAGAAATGAGCTATGAAGCTGTGAAAAGACATGGAGGAAACTTATATGCGTATTGCTAAGTGAAAGCAGCCAGTCTGAAAAAGCTACATACTGTAGGATCACAACTATATAACATTCTGGAAAAACTACAGAGACAGGAAATAGATTAGTGTTTGCCAGGGGTTCATGGGAAGGAGGCGAGGGATGACTAGGTGGAGCAGGGAGCGTTATTAGGTCAGTGAAACTATTCTGTACGATACTGTAATGGTGTATACACGACATTAGAACCCATAGAACTGTATATACAGAGTGAACCCTAACGTAACTAGCTATGAGCTTTAGTTAATAATAAGTATCAGCATTGGTTCCTCAGTTGCAGCTAGTGTACTACGCTAATGCAGCATAACAGGAGAAACTGCAGTGAGGGGTGGGGTGCAGGAATGAGCTTTAGTTAATAATAAGTATCAGCATTGGTTCCTCAGTTGTAGCTAGTGTACTACGCTAATGCAGCATAACAGGAGAAACTGCAGTGAGGGGTGGGGTGCAGGGAAGGAAGTGCATGGGAGCTCTGTAGTTTCTCTGCAATTTTTCTGTAAACTTAAAACTGCTTTAAAAATAAAGTCTATTTAAAAAGTAGTTTTCTTACATGGGAGAATATGGACTTACTTTTTGCTTTTTTATGCCATACTTGTCTGTGTTTTTGTGTATTCTCTACTGTACATCTACATAAAAATTATAGGTATGTAAAAGAAACACCCAAGCCTATTCTGTCTTCAATATTGTCAAGATTCTGCTTTGCTTCTCTAAAGCGGTAAGTAGAGGAAATTTGTTACATATTAGTCAGTCTTCCACGGTTGCGCTGCCTTGGTGTGTGCTTATTTCATTTTGCTTCTCTTGGGTTTTTATCACTAGGCTGTAGAAATTTTGAGGAAAACAATGGGATGTGTACTTTTTGTAATATTATCACTAAGCATAGTACCTAATTACTTCGCATTTTTCCTTTAATTCTCATAATAACTCAACATAGTAAAAATTAACATTAGTGTTTTCGTGAGAAATCTGAGGCTAAGTTAAGTTAGATAAATGCAAGTCTAAGTCACTTCAACAGCACTTATTTGCCAGTTTATCACACTACCCTGGATAATTAATCTTTATGATTTGTGCTAGGTTCTGGTAACCATTTTAGAAATAAATATCAAGTCATAGTTTCACAGACAAATGAGCAGGAGTTCACTGTGTTTCAAATATTCTTTCCTCTCATTTTAATATCATACTCTGCCCCTCCCCCAATCTTTACTCAGTTTTTCCTCTCAAGGACACATCTCCGAATATAAGATGGTTCCAATACGTCAGACAATTGTCCTGGTAAAGAAAAAGACGTCTAAGACTCTAACAGAATGGCGGTCTTCAGTGTCCACTCTCACTCCTCGTTAAGTCTGAACGTGTGACACTGATATGTAAATTCTGTAATGTATGTGGATTCTCTTATCCCTCTGCTCCCCACTCTACCCATCTGCTGCCCTCCACCTGTTTCACCCAATGTCAGAGGCCAAACCCTGGGATTTGAGATTCACTTTACTGAAGATACAGATATGTCATTGACTTGGAGGCTCAAGAACCAGAAACAGATTTTGAACTCCTTACTCAGTAGAAATCTTCCAACAAACAAACCCAGCTCTAGGGTTTTCCAGGTGAACACTAGACCACAGCAACAAGATTGCCTGCGCATGCTCAGAACGACACCAAGCCCTGATGAACCTGGATATTTCTGATTAATTCCAGAGCTGATAAGATACATTCGACATTCAAAATGGAAGGTTTCCATATATTCCCCAGTCCGACCCCCCCACCCCCCACACCAACCCACAAAGAACTAGTTCAGACACTGAAATCTCCACCCAAGGTCCATCAAAATTGTTTACTGTATTCAGGGAAATTACGGTTTGGAGAAACCACAAACAGTAAGTGCACAGGAGATGCCCCCATTGAATGTTTAGAAAGTTCCATAGCAGAGAAAGAATCCTACGGGGTTTATTCCAGAGACACTACATGATAATAATAAAATGATGGGGAAAAGAGAGAAAACAGATATAGAAAAGGGCAAGAGACAGGAAAGCCAACTAGATGTTGGAGTGTGGAGAGATCAGGGAAGGCACCACCACGTGGGGTGGATAAAGGGCTGGAAAATGCTGAAGATGGTTGTCTTCACTGAGGTAAACAATTGGAGTATTGCCAACTTTGTAAAGCTATTAAAGCAGAAATTTCTTGATTGATCTTCTCGCTCAGAAAGGCCATCACCTGTAGTAGGACACACATAGTTATTGAAGAGTTAAAAATGAATTTTTTTGAGCTGTTCCTTCAGATTCCTTCCACTTCTCTCTTAATCCTTTGACTGTGTAAAAGCCTCTTAATATTAATCTGACCTCTAGTAAATATGACCTTTTCAACATGAACTGTATAACCTACTCTCCAAGTGAGCATGGATGAGCAACCGTGGTTTAGCTTTTTGTAAGCTTCTGATAGCACTTTTCAGACTGGAGGAGTAAAAACAGGCATCTGCCTCCAAGAATTTCCATTTTATGCAATGAATCTACCCTAACCCCAAAGGAGCCAGGCTCTGGAAATGCTTTTGAACTGATGACCTCTCTAAGGAAATATAATCCAGGAAGTTCCCAAATCCTGAGGCTTCCTTTCTTAGATCACTGGACTCAGTATTCTAATGTGAAACAATGGTCTTAGGTCCTGGAGATAATTTCCAAGACTGCAGCTGTGGCCTAAGTGAATATCTTTGGAAAAGGATGAGGGACCTTGAAGCTTTGGGATACCAGATGATGCCAATGTCCGATTTGTTCTAGCAAAGAGAAATCAAGAGCCACAGCTTTTCCTGCCCTTCTTTCTTAAAGGTATTACATGTCCCCGTCCTCATTGTTTCCCTTTCTCAGCTATCTCCATATATGTCTTCCTCTGACCACGCCTAACCCACCTCCATGTGCCTCACAGAGGCCCTCGGCGTTCTGCAGCATTGCCTTTGCGTACGCCCTTGATGATGAAGATGGTCCCCACAATGATGCCCACCAGACCCACAACCAGGCCCAGGGCGCACACCACATTCTCTGTAGTCTCTGGGAGGGGGGGTTGCACTTCAAACTCTGGGGAAACATAAAACAGAGTACATGGTAATGAATGTGATGGGGAGAAACACTTAGTACAAAATGTAGTGAACTTAGTCAAAAGAATAGTTATTAATATATTAAAGAAGAGGAAAACAGAATGATGTATTAGGGAATTGCTGATTAAAAAGCAGAAGAAGCTGGGTAATGGGAGAAGACAGGTATATGAATTGTAGCAGATATCATGAAGCAATTAGGACACTCTAGATTCCAGGGGTCCAGGCACAAGCATCATAGGAGGAAACCTTAAAATAAAGGACTTGAAGGATGTTCCATACCCCAGTGCTTGAGAAGAGGCTTATCCAAACCAAAGTGCTCCACCTTGCAGTCATAGACATCCTCAGTTGAGGGCAGGAAGGGGAGATAGTAGAACTTGCGGAAAAGTTGGTCATCCCTAGGCAGGAAGACTGTCTCTGACACTCCTGTGGTGACAGGTTTTCCATTTTGAAGCCACGTGACTTTGATCACCGGAGGGGTGAACTTGTCGACAAAACAGATGAGGACGTTAGGCTCTCCCAGTTCCACATGGCTCTTTGAGAGCACGGTCACCTCTGGAGATACTGAGGACACATGACAGAAATTAGCCTTTGCTGCTTGGGCTTGCCCCTCTCCCTCCCACACTGAATTGTGGTACGATCCTATTTAAAGACTTCAAAGTTGAAAAAGCAGTTGAAATTGTGCCCTGAGAAGTCTCTGCCACATTCTCTGATACCTATCTCTGACACCCTCTCCCATGTACCAGAGCCAATATTGAGGTATAAGATGTCCCAGGACCTCATTCCTGGATCCCCCAGCATGGTCTCAGGACAACAACTTTGTGAGTGACCATGGATGACAGAGACAACTCTTGAGCACACCAAGAAAGGAACAAGCCTATTAAGTTCTCAAGCCTGTGGCATGAGAATTTTGGGTTTGCACATGGCCAGGTTAGGCCCTTGGGAGGGAAAGTCAGTCACAATAATATAACACAGAGAACTGAAGCATCTATTTTAAAGCTATGGATTCCCATGTCCAGGAGTGCAACAGAGAGAGAGGTACCATTGGTGATTGGGGTGTGGTTGGAGCGCTTCATCATGATGTCCAGGTTGAATTTGTTCACAGCTTTATTGGCCAATGCACCCTGAGCCTCAAAGCTGGCAAATTTTCCAAATTCTTCAAGCCGCCAGATCGTCTCCCTCTTCTCCAGATCCACATGGAAAATCTCATCACCATCAAAGTCAAACATAAACTCTCCCGACTCGTCAGGGGCCATATAGAACTCAGCCTGGATGATTACATGTTCCTCTGAAAAGGCAGGAAAGGGAGTTAGGGTGGGAATCAGGAGAGGGAGATGAAGAAAGTACATGTGGGCAGGAGGTGGTGGAGAGAGACAGGGCCAAGCGGGATGGGAGGGATGGACAGCAGGATGAGTGGAAAGATGAGGTGTGGGTGAAGGACATCCACACTGAGCAAGGCTGGGAGGGGAGAAATCGGGGGCAGTGTTAGAGGGTGGATTGAAGGAGAGCAGGGCTGAAAAGCCCAGAGTCTTGTGAAGCTGTTGTTTGGCTCCATGTTATGAGCTGATGAATGATTTTCTCTTTAGAAATCCAGCAGCAGCCCCTAAAAGGGAAATGTTCTCTCCCTCTCTTTACCCAGGCACTAAATGCCCTTAGACCAGAATTCTGGAGCGTCTGTTTCTCAGAACATTGTACTCTGAGAGAAAGACTGTTTGAGAGGTTGGGTTCTGAACTCTGGAATCAAGTAAAATGAGCTACTTGCCTAGTGATCTTGAACGGATTATTTTACCTACTTATGTGTAGTTTTTCAAGTATAGTTTTGCTGTGATTTTGATTCTAGCATGGGTTTGTTCTTAGATTAAATGAGATAAGGTAAACAATTTCTTGTTATATCAGCAGGCCTATAACAAGCTCTGTTCACATTCTGTGGTCAGAAACTGCTTTTATTTAAGGACTGCACCCATGGTAAATATAACTGGGGCCTGAGGCACCCAGGAAATTAAGATTGGGACCTTGCAGGGTTGTAGAGCACCCACTTCCCTGGACCCAAACCCACATTGCAGATGCCTCTGTGAGAAGGATCATATTTGGATTGACCTAGGCAACTTGACCTTTGACCTTAATACTCCTTAAATTGGGACTGTCATTATGGGACATAATCCATTGTCATTGACACTGGGAATAACCAACACCAAGGGAATAATTAACTTGAAAAAAGAAAGCTACAATTGGAGAGTATGCAGCCTCCATAGTGTATGTAGATGAAAGAGGGATTTTTTCTTTATTTAGTCTTCAGAAATAAAATGAGAAGTTTTAATATTTGACTGTATATTGATAAACCTAAGAATTTATTTAGCATTTGCAGCTGTGTATACACACAAATATCTTAGCTGCTCCCTTTCAACCCAAGGAAAGAGGCTCTATCTTTCTAAGTAAGCAATTTTCTATGCTCTTTATGGCCAGTAGAAACCTAAAATTGCCATTATGATTCTGGGAGCTGTGTGATTACTTTGCTCATTTCCAGTCTACCTGCCACCCTCTGTGGGGGTCACTCTGGGTGAAGAATACATTTTCAAAATACACCTCTACAACAGTGCAAGTATTTGCCCTGGAGATGATAGAGAAAAATATCAGACTCCCCCCTTCCTTATTCGTTTTTCTGTTCTCTTGGAAATATTACTAAGTAGTAGTGACCAAAGATCATGAAATATCTACTGTAACATGGGGGAGAGAGCAAAGGAATGGCCATCACTGTCTCAGGAGGAAGTAAATTTAAATGCAATTCATATCAGCATGCCTGCCCTTCCCCCTCCTTGGGCAAATTGTTGCTTTTTGGTGACTTTTCTTTCTAGTGATCTTCAATACAATGTCTGTGCTCAAAATATGTGGACAGAATTTACATGCCAAAAATAACTACTATGTATTCAGCTAAGAACACTGCTAAGAACTCATATTTTTTCTCCTTTAATTCTAACAAAATTGTGAGGTTTTTCATTTTTAATTTTACTAATTTTTCAGAAAGAAAAATCAAAGCCTAGAGATATAACTTGTTAATACCGGTCATAAAATATTCCCCACACCCCAAGTCTGGCTTATATCAAGTCAGTGTATTAATCAATATACAACTCAGTTTTATTCCTCTAAACTAAATTTGACTTACTTTAATTTGTGGTGAGGGAAGAACTCCTCCAAACTTCAATTTATTATAATTTCAGATTTAGACCCACATAATATATGTCAGGCTTTTCTTTCTCTCCAAAAAATAGCATTGCAAATGTCCACAGTTCATTTCTCCAATGCCTCATAGTCTATTTTTGATTATTTCAATGCCTACCTTTGATAGCCCATGATTCCTTGGGGCTCATCAGGACAGCCATGATGAAAAATCCTAGCACCAGCACTCCACTTTTGTCCATTTTCTTCTTGTGTGCTTTGATGGGGTTCAGTAGAGCTCACGAGTGAGGCAGAACAGACAAGAATAAGAGAAAATTTGATGTGGGGGTTTGATAGAGTTTGACATGATTAAAATTCAAATCAGTTGAGTTTCAGCCAATCAGAAAAACCTCTTGAGATGACATATCTGTTTCTAGGGGAAGGGCTCTTGTAAAGTGTCCAGGACAAGAGATACTTAGTTCATTAGATAAGAAAGTGTAAAGTTCTCAAACAATAACAACGAAAAAAAATCAAGTTTTTGAGAATGTTCACTCACAGACTTCCATCCCCATCTGAATTCTAGAAAGGGATATCCCTGAAGCACATTAGTGAGAGGAGAATCAATGAAAACACCTTAAAGTGAGAGCTAAATACAGATCATGCTTCTGTGCTGTGACAGCTGGGGGTTTATTTAAGGAACAACAAATAATCTAAAGAGAAGGTAAATTGTCAGACCATGAAGAATGCCTGAATTTTGGCAGGACTGAGTGACAGAGCTTTACTTAAGAAGCTCCTTTCTCTTCATGGTTCTCCTCCAGTGTCCTCAACACCAAGATGACCAACTCAGCCCAAGAGTTTGGGATCCCTGGCATTGAGCTATATTTAGATAACATTAGAGGAGAAACTCTGAGTTTCAACACTGCCTAAGCTGGAGAGGGACGGAAAGCTACACCTTGGAACACAGGCAGTGATTACTGGAAACAATGGGCTATAAAGAGGGTACCTTCTCCTACTCCGTGCCATCTTAAATATGACCAGAGTTTGGAGTAGACTGCTAGAGACACACCTCACTTGAGGACTCATGTCAATGAATATGGTAGAGAAAACTGGGAAAAGCTTATTTTACTGGGAACACTAAGGATAATGACCTGCAGGAGGGCTTTACCATTCCTTCCCCCATGTCATAAGATTATGAAAGTTCTTCTCCTGTCATACAATTATTAAAGTTCTGATCTGAAGAATATATTTTAATGTTCACCACAGAGACTACTGAAAGAGACTCTAGCTGTCATGTTTCTGAAGATATAGGGCAATAGAAAGGAAAATGTTAAATCACACATAGAAAGAACTGGAATCCAAATATGAGGGTACTTCAAAAAATTTGTGGAAAGATAGAATTGAAAGATAATATGATCTTTCCATGAACTTTTTGAAGTACACTTGTACTTCTAATGAAGAGCGACCTGGCAGTAAGGCAGCCCATCAGATGGTGACTCCATTGCTTAATATTAGGCATCCAATCCGTGGATGGATTAGGATGATTTAGGGTGGATTTTCTACACCATCGTGCTGAGGTTTTATCCTACCATGCAGCTGTCCTCATAACTTATGAGCAAAAGCACCCTATACATTATTGATTATGTGATCACATCTAAGGGCTTTGAACATCCTGTGACATTAACTCTAGATCACTAAGAGGAGACCCACAGCATGATTCTGCCCTAAAAGTGTTCAGGAAGGGGCCGGCCCGGTGGCGCACTGGATAAGTGCGCCGCTTGGGAAGCGCGGTGGAGCTCCCACCCGAGGGTTCGGATCCCACATACAGACCGGTTCCCGCTCACTGGCTGAGCGAGGCGCGGGAGCAACACCGAGGGTTGCAATCCCGTTGCCGGTCCCCGGTCCGGTACGGGGGCAACAGTGAGGGTTGCGATCCGTTGCCGGACACGGAAAAAGACAAAAGACAAAAAAAAAAAAAAAAAAAAAAAGTGTTCA